TCTTTCTGAATCCGTAGATTCCAACTCCGCGTAATCGAAGAGTGGGCGTGTTCTTCGTCTTCTTTGCTATTCCCTCAGTGAAAGCTCCCCAAACGCTCGCTTCCTCCTGCTCAGCTCTGGTGCTAAGTCGTTCATCATATTGATTTCTCGACCCAGGTATACATAGATAGAGCATTCAGCGATAGTCGTTTCGTTGAATGGGGCATCAGAAACTAGTCCATTCCTCATGAACGTCATCTTCGTTAGATTCGGCTGCAGAAAAAATTTTTCCCAACCAAAACTATTAGGTTGTCCCAAAAGTCCAAAAGTTCGTGGACACTTTCTAACTTTTATTCGAATTAAGTTTATTCCAGTGGGAAGCAATTTTGATCAGCTATAAATATGCCGCCAAAAACGATCCAGCTGCCTTTCTGGGCACAGAACTAAGAGGCTTCTGGAAGCAGGGCAACCACACATTGCGTAGTGATTGGCAACAAGTTGCCAATGAAGGTGACATATATATATATATATATATATATATATATATATATATATATATATATATATATATATATATATATATATATATATATATATATATATATATATATATATATATATATATATATATATATATATATATATATATATATATATAATATATATATATCCATACCCCGAACAGGCAGATGTTCCACGAAATCGACTTCTTCTTAACCAACTGCTTGCGCCTCTTTCACAATGTTACAGTGATCGGAGAATCGCATTTTAATATTGGATCGGACCACCGTTTAGTTCGAGCCACAGTAGCAATAAAGCTCAGAGAAGAAAGGAGACGATTAGCTGCATACTATTCGCAACGTGCTCAATATGTGCTCTCTGAAGAACGACTAAAAGCGCTCGCTTCCACGACAAACTTTTCTTCAGAACAGGGAAATGTTCACAGCAGATACGAAAAGTTGATTTCTACTATTCGGGATGTAGTTAAAAATGCTTCAGAGCGCGTTCGAAGCAGACCTCGGGAACGATTAAGTGCTACTACACTGCAAATGTTGGCCACTCGGAAGGAATTGGGAAAAACTATGACTCCTGTGGCTAGAACTATATTAAACAAGGCTATACGCTATAGAGTGAAGAAAGAATATCGTGAATACGCGGCAACGTAAAGCAAGAGAAGCAGCTGAAAAATGCACGAGCATCAAAAGAACATTCATCAACACTCGACTCAAAACCATTACCCCTGAATATCTCACAAAAGAAGATGGCTCTGTTGTCAGGAATAAAAAAGGAATGGAAGGAGAAATTCGAAACTTTTTCCAAGACCTCTTCTCCACAAAAGTGCTGGTGCAACCTAACATGATATTTTGTGAGGATGATGATGACACACTTGCAAGAGATGAGTGGAAAGTACTTGAAACGGAAGTATTGGAGGCTATTCAACAGAGAAAGGAGGAAGAGCGCCTGGACCAGATCGAATTCTGGCAGAACACCTGAAATGTCTGAAGGAGTTCATCGCCCGCCCTTTGGCAGACATTTTCACGGAAATGCTGGCGTCGGGAACTGTACCAAAGGAATGGCTGGGCTCGAACACCATTTTGATCCACAAAAAAGGACCGCGTGATATACTGGCCAACTATCGTCCTATAGCGCTCCTGTCCACAATACTCAAAATCTTCTCACGTATCATCCTCAACCGCATAAGTGGAACACTCAATATAAATACGAGAAGAGAACAAGCCGGATTTCGTGAAGGCTTTTCAACCATCGATCAGATACATGTGATTTCTCAACTTGCGGAAAGATGTCGAGAAGTACCGAATCCCGCTATGTTATCTTTTTGTTGACTTCAAAAAGGCATTTGATACGGTCGAACACCAAGCGGTACTAAACGCACTTGCCACGTTCGGAATTTCAAGAAGATATATTGAAATAATACGACAATGTAACACGAGCTGCTACACTGACATAAAATTGCTCAAAGAACCAGTTCGTGTAAAGATCCAACGTGGCGTACGGCAAGGCGAGGTCATCTCTCCAAAACTATTCTCTGCAGCTTTAGAACTTGTAATGCGGCAAATCGAGCTGCCTTGTGGCATTGAGATAGATGGCGAAAGACTTCAATACTTGATGTTTGCAGACGACATAGTCTTGATTGGAAGCGAACCGAGTGCACTCGAAAGCTCCCTGAATATTTTGAGCGAAGCCTCCCAATCCATTGGACTTGTAATACATCCAGGAAAAACCAAATGGATGAAAAACAACTACACCAATGACTATCGTTTATGCATGAAAGGATCAGTCATTGAAGAAGTCTCATCGTTCACGTATCTTGGCCAAGCAATAACGATGGATAATGATCTTACAGGAGATCAGCCGGCGTCGAAAGGCGGGATGGGCCACATTTAACAAATACCGAGATGTTCTCACCGATAGACGGATTGAAACTCAAGTAAGATCTCAGGTGTTCAACACCCATGTTCTACCAGCACTGGTATATGGAAGTGAGACATGGAGCACAATCAAAGATGAGGAGAGAAGACTAGCTGCTACGCAAGAGGGGAGCGAGCAATGTGTCGAGTAACACTAATGCACAAGATCCCTGCTCGCGAAATCCGAAGACGGACGGGCGTAAAGGATGTTATCGAAACCATTTATGACTCGAAAAAGAGATGGGCTGGACACGTAGCTCGTCTTGACGATAACCGATGGACATATCGCGTAACCAACTGGTATCCTCGTGGTGTAAAAAGGCCACAGGGAAGACCCCCAGCCAGGTGGAGTGATCCTTTTAAGAAACTATATGGGCAGAGATGGCAACAAATGGCAAGAAATCGTGATGAATGGCATAGATGTGTCCTGCAAGGATGGCGCAACCAACCTTGAAGAGCGGACATCAAGGTATTCAAGGTATATATAATACGATTTTTGATAGTACCTCAAAAATGACCCAGCTGCCTTTCTGGGCACAGAACTAAGAGGCTTCTGGAAGCAGGGCAACCACACATTGCGTAGTGATTGGCCAATCACTACGCAATGTGTGGTTGCCCTGCTTCCAGAAGCCTCTTAGTTCTGTGCCCAGAAAGGCAGCTGGGTCATTTTTGAGGTACTATCAAAAATCGTATTTTTTTACCCAGAAGATGGCCGCTGTGGGATTAGTTTAGATGGCGATCGGAAAGAGCTAAGTCAGGGCTACACGAAGACTGTGGTGGAATTCCCCAGCTAAGCTTCGGGATCTCGAGCAGTGTCGTTTTCCAAATGTGTGACCCTGAGCTGTGGTGGAGTAGGCAAACATTGCTCGGTTTTGGGACCAAATGGTAGAGATTTTCCACCCCACTTTGCAGTTGATTACAATAGGGCTCCCTGGTTACCATAGCGTTGGAAGGAGGGAATTCCGTTTCGAGAGCGGAGAAAGGTACCCCACCACATACACAGCCTCACCGCCCTACTGGATTGATAGGATTGCGCGATCGGTTCTGCCCTTTCGGGGGGATCTAGCCGTTGGCGCTCCCACTCCACATCCAATCACAGTGCTGTTGAACCAGTCCGTACAGCGGAAGTGGGAGAGAAGTTGTAGACAGTACCCAAATGTGCTCCCCTTGGAGTACTGGTCAAGTGATGAGAAAAATTTTGACCTAATTTCAGAACTTTCCTAAGAGCGCGTTCAGACTTCGCGATCGCGCGATCCGGATCGCGCGATCGCTGTGATCGCGCGATCCTTGCACTACTGTGGGTGAAATTCACACCGGGAGGGAAGGGTCATGTTTTTTCATGTTTTTTGTTCCTGTTCACTTTTCCTGTTCACTTTTTCTTTTCCTTCTTTCTTCCTTCGTGTTCATAACGTCTCTCTGTGTCCGCCGCCACGCCCCCTTCCACCACGCGTGGCGGCGGACACAGAGAGACGTAATGCCCCATGAAGAGACGTAGTGCCCGCGCGGACCTAATGACACACCCTGCCAGAATGCTCGGGGTGGGCCGGAGATGTCGTAGAAAAATTTTGGGGAAGAAATGAAATTTTAAAGAGAAGTAGGCGGAGCCAGGGGCGGGGCTTGTAGGATATGAAAGAGGGTGTGGCGGCGAACATAATAACAGAGTGGGACGTAGTGCCCCAGAGCGGACCTAATGACACACCCCACGGGGAATTGCCGAAATAGTGAAAAAGGGCCATACAAAAGAACATGAAAGAGAAAATAGAACATCAAAAAACTATAGCAACAAAAAAAAGAAGAAAAACTCACCCCCGATCGCCGCCAACATTGCAGAATCCGAATCTGAAAAAAAATTGAGAGGGAATACAAAGAAACACAAATCATTTCGAAACGTTCCTTAACATAAAAGGCCTTATGAACACGAAGGAAGAAAGAAGGAAAAGAAAAAGTGAACAGGAAAAGTGAACAGGAACAAAAAACATGAAAAAACATGACCCTTCCCTCCCGGTGTGAATTTCACCCACAGTAGTGCGAGGATCGCGCGATCACAGCGATCGCGCGATCCGGATCGCGCGATCGCGAAGTCTGAACGCGCTCTAAGGGAGCGAGGCCCTCTCTCATTTGTGCTTTGGGACCAGTCAAGTGTGACTAGATAGCAAGTTGATTTGTACGTATTGGTTTTAATCAAGGAACACAGTAGGTCCAAATCCAAGGCAGGTGGCCTCCTTGGACGAAGTTTTTCACCCGGATAGAAGTCACTAAAGCAAGCAATTGAGGCATTCCAAAGCCGTACTGTGGTAGCTTACTTTGTGGCTTGATAGAGATTCATATAGCGAAGTGTGTCGAAAATGAATTTCAATTACCGTTGTTATATGAGAACAGCGACTGCGAGGGACGGTGAAGAAGCTGTGGAATGCTTACCTCACACACTTCCCATAGACACACATAACTGGATCTCGAAATGGCTGCGGAAAAATCTGATACGAGATTCAAAAAGTGTCCACGAACTTTTGGGACAACCTAATAAAAGTCGAAATCAGCAAGCTTTCGCCCTACTTGTTCGATGTCGGTGTTAACAGAACGATATCGTCAGCAAAGCGGAGATGGTTTAGTTGACGGCCGTCGATCTTCACTCCAATGTCCTCCCACTGCAGCTGACGCATAAGGTTCTCGAGAGAGGCGCTGAAGAGTTTGGGCCCTGAGACTCTGAGGTGGTGTCGCCCTGTTGAACCGCTCTCTTCGCATAATAATCTCTAGTTGAGTGGTGCATTCTAGATGTGAAATTGCTGTGGAGGTCACGAAGAATCCTGATGTACTGAGTACGAACACACTGATTGCCCAGGGTTTCGAGAACCGAGCACGTCGTTGTGACTACTCAAGTTAAATGAGATTGCTTTTTCGGACCAATTCCTTTTTTATTATGATAAGTGCCGTTTAATGAGGCAATTCGTGCACCGAACGTCATCACAACAATGGTGACTTAAAAGCATAAATCTGACCCCAGATGGGACTTGAACCAGTATCTGACCCCTATCCACCAAAGACACTATCCGCTATCCACCAGAGCCGCCTCTTACCCTCACAGCTCAGTGATTTTTATAACAAATTGTGAAAACTAATATCAGCAATATAAAACGCTACACACACACTATATGTTTATTTACATTCCATATATGAGTAGAGTTGCTCATTAAATGCCAAAATTTCGTGTAAGGAACTCACTTTGGAATACCACTGGACTTCTGTATAGACTACAACTATGGAATATTTACATTTTCTGTTGGGTTCGATTACGCGGAGTTGGAATCTACGGATTCAGAAAGAACATATGGTTTGCGTCATTCAACGCGCCACCGAAAGAGCAATACTCGGAGTTTCCCGCTATACGTAAATGAGAGAGGGAATTGGAGCTCCACATTCCTTCGACTACTGAAAATCACGTACGCAACCACATCAAGACCAGGTAGGCCTGGCATGTCTGCGTTTCGAAGACGACCGCTGGATCAGGGCTATTACCTCCAGGATTCTACCGAACAAACACCTGGATGATCGCCTACGCGATGGTCAGACTTCTTCATGAAACTTCTGAACGTATGGTATGGAGTTCATCATGTACCTCGAGCACAGAAATCTCAATGGGCAACGAGCAACTCGATGACCAACGGGAGGGTAGTGATATAGGTAATGGCTTGACAGCTCAAAGACCTTCCGAACATGTTCAGTCCTGTGTCATGGAGGTAGGGCTTCTACATCCAGTCTGCCTCTACACTCTTCGAAATTTCAATCACAGTCATAATCACAAGTTCCTTGCAGGGTGTGTTATTCTAATCAGCGGCACGCTGTGGATGGTCAACATCATTACTACAACTGGGTAGCTAAAACGTCTCAGGTTCAGCTAAAACTTGATTCATTTGACCCGCTTCAACTCTTACTCTTTAGAGAAGGTGCTAACCATAACATGATGGATGAAGTCTGGTGCTATTCAGTTCCTTTCAAGGATACTGACGCACCCCATTCCACAATGGTATCGTTTGTATGGGAGAGAGTCTACATAATAAAGAAATGGTATCGTTTGTATGGGAGAGAGTCTACATAATAAAGATGAGGGAGAGTTGGTTAGGAGGTGTATTAGTAATTTCATTTCCCCAATCAAGCCTTTACAATTTATTGGACCCCAGAAGTGCTCGGCTGGTTGGAATTGGAGTGTAAAGTATATAAAACACAATTTATGCCAAAACGGAGCCAGATCTACTGGCAAGTGAGCCCACTTACTCACCCTTTTGAAAAAATGGAGTTGCTGTAGCTCCGAGTATAGAGCAAAGGCTATCTCATAGAGGCATTCAGTAATTCACTGAACTTTGTCTGCTGTTGGTTATGCCAAAAAAGTTTTATTTCTGCATAGCCATATTGTCATATTGCTCATCTCTTCCCCCCCCCCCCCCATAGACACCGTTATATCGCACTACACAAGTGAACGCCTGAGCTCAAGTTGTGCGTCATTTATAGCGATATAAGTAGTTCTGACTGGAGAGGGAAAAAGGAAGCGTTACAGAGTAAAAAAGGAACCCACCGATTAAGATGGATGAGTTAAGAAGGACAATGGAAATAAGTGCTGCACCGTGAGCTCTGGGGCTCATTCCAACTTTGGACTTTCTCCGGATGAGGGCGCAGTCATCCCACAAACTTTGAAGAAATGACGAATCTACCTGAAAGAAAGTATGACTATCGATTCGAAGAAATTACAAATCAATGGAGTTAAGAGAAGCACAGAATCGGTTGGGTCCGGCCCTCTGTGTCCTTCTAGGGGAAGGATTTTAGGGGGCTTCAAGGGTTTTTGGAGAAAACAATCTAATCAACACGCTACCTTTTCTTCCTTTTTCATTTCCACGGAGTGTACGAACGCGGCTTTGGGAGATTAATCAGTTAATAATTGGACGCTCCTACTTTGAATTTCTTGGTATTTATGTATATTCAACTTTT